TAATATTGAGCGTGTAAGCTCTTCTCTTTTGTTCTAGTTCTGAATAAAAGTGTGTTTCAACCCCAACAGCTTACACGTGTTGTAGTTGGCGTGTAATGGCCAATTTGTTTGTTGAATACGTGTTTTTGATGTGCAGAGGTGTGGTTAGAAGTTAGGCGTCCATAATTTATTACGTTTGGATTGTTTTAATATTTATGTGTCTTTTAATACATAAAGTAACTTTATTTATAAACATTGCAACGATTACACCTCTTGTTACACTGTTGTATTTACGTAGAGCGTCTAATTTATTTAAAGTACGAAACCGGGTGTTTACTTGGTGGTTGTGTCTTTCATCGCGCGTTTGTACTTCCCGATTCTTTTGTGGATCGATCCCAACATGAAAGAGATGTTGTCTTGCATGGATTGATCTTCTGTTTTTGCTTTCTCAAACATGTCATGCAGTGTTTGGACGTCAACATCGTCTGCGTTATTTGTTATGTATAGTATGATAATTTCGTCGATGCTGAAACTTTCTTCTAACCTGTATTGAGCTGCTTCAAGTATGTCAGCAATTTCCCTAACGAAGTCGATCATAATCGTCAAACCTTTGTTGAAATCTTTGTTATTCATTTTGATATTTATGATGTTTTATGTGGTGTTTGTGGTATATATTTATAAAAGAGACAATTTATATGTGTGGTATATTGTCACTTTGTGCGTGTAAGTCACCTAACGTTTACTTATAGACCTCCATGTGTGATGTTTTCCTGACTATAGCATTAGACTTCCATGTGTGATGTTTTTCTGCCTATATCATTGCTTATTCATACACTGTATTGTTTATCGATGGACTGTAAAGTAATTGATAATACAACGTGGCTCGTTATGCTTTTCGTTGGTAACGATTGATATGGTAGGTTGTAGTTTATAAGGTCATGTTACACATACGTGTCTATATAGGGTACATGGTAATGAATTTTATTATATAATAAGTATTTAAATTGAAGACAAGAGTAAAAAATGGACGGATAATCATGAATATAATTTTTAGTTAGGTAGAAAAACATTCAATGGTGTTAATGCTAACGTCTATATAGTAGTCATAGATATTAGAGGTAATCATAATCTATAGAAATTTATATTTTGCTTATTTATTATATTTTTTTTATGTTCTTCAATTAGGTTAATTATAAATATATTTATGTAAGGATGATGGAGGATTAAATGTAAAAAAACGAACGGCCAATTACTATGAAGTTCTATTATTTTTTTAAATTTTTTGTTGAATAAAAATTGGAAATTAATTTTAAATATTTATTTGTTTATGGAATGATATGGTTATTATTTAATTATAAATTAATGTAAGATGATACATGATAGGTTTAAGCTGTTATATATAATAGGTACAATACATTTCCCTTTGTCAATACACGTTTACTTATATGTAATATCATACAAAACACAAAAGGTAATCGCTTGTTGTATGTGCTTCTACACATAATATACGAAATTTGTAAAGAACGGGTAATAAGTTTAAACAGTTATTTACAATACGGTTTGCTTTGCGACAAAGTGTTCACTTGTATATCATTTAGTACAAACTACAAAGCGTAAAAAGATGTTTTCCGAACTTTTACACATATTATATAAAACTGATAATGCGGTTATGATCAACGTACAAGGGGAGCGCCTTTATTCTGTATTGCGTGCGCTTTTACGTTTTGTACTTGATGTCTCTGCAATAATAAATTGTCATAGGTAATAGTTTGTGTATTTTTTTAATAAAATCTAATAAGCAGGTTTGTAGTGTATGTATAAAACAAATTACCATTTACCTTGGTTTTCAAATGGTAATGATCTTCTAACATTCAGTCTACTGTGTTGGGGAATTGAAGAAGAGTCCTTTTCAGTGTGTTTTGATGGTGATGGATGGTCTGTTATTGGTGTTGTTGCGCATACTGTTTCCTGAGGATGTGTTTTTTCAATATTTGTAATCATAAAGTGAATGTTGTTATCTGTCGATGTGTTTGTGATACGAAGTTTCATTTTTTTGGGTATTCCTTGTACAACAGTAGCAATTGGAGGTAATCGTCCTCTGTGGTTTATGTCATCATCTGATATAAGTTTATCGAATGTTGAGCCGAATAAGTCTTGTGTTGCGTTATCAGAGAGCAGAGCAGTTATAGAATGATTTTCATCTGTAATTGTTGCACTAAGCTTGAACCTAAGGTTTTGCATGATAGAAGTTATTATAAATTTTTTGTTTTTGTCAAATATTTTTTAATGACTAATTTTAGATATGTATACTTACATTGTAGTTGGAGTACTAAGTATGCCATCTGAAGGACAACCAATTTTTCCCCTGTTTAAAAGTTGGAACCTTACAGTTCGGACATTGCACTTGGTACCAACAATTTGAGAACACATAGTCAGTTATGGCAGCTTTTGTAGTGAAAGTTTTGTCCTGCGTAATAGATATCTTGTTATAATTTCTATGAGAGAAAAAATGTTAATATGTTAGTTAGTTTTCATATGTAAATAGAGAGGTAACATACCAGGAGTTCAGGATGACTTTTTTGTATTATGTCTCCTAATGGTGTTGGGACGTCAAAAACTACAGATGAGTCAGTAAACGCACCATAACTACATCATATAAAAATTATAACAATCAGTAACAAATGATTTAATATGTATTTATATGTTTTACAATACCTGTCCATTAGAAGTGTTGTTTCTGGAATTGGTGGATTGATGTATAAGTGAGTTGCACTGCTTGTTCCAAGTCTTAGGGAGCCTTTAAGTTATGAATCATAGAAAATATAAAAAAAATTATATTTTTTATAAGGTAATTGTCATTTTGAGAAGAACAAAGGATGAATTTACCAGCATAGGTCGAAATCTTTATGCTACTTATAGCAACAACAGCAGGAGCAACAGTGTTTTCCAAAGCAATACCATCAAACTTTGAAGGTATATTGGTGCATTCTTTCCACAAACTTATTGCAATATCGTCACCCCTAATGTTTGTAATTGTTATGCATGTTAGCATCTTATGAGAATAATAGTATAAATACATTACTTACAACTCATTCTTTAGTATCAGTAACAGATATGGGTCTTTATCTTTCTTTGTACACCTAATAAGTTTGCTGAAGACACCAACAAATTCTGCAAATGAAAACTTGTAGTTGAGAATAGTTATATGGGATAAAAAATATTGTTATTGGTTATTAACAATCTATGTAACTGGTTATTTTTAATGTACGTATGTTGTATAAACGAATGAAAACCTGCATGTTGATCAACATAATATGGAATTTGTTTTTTGGCTATGAAATTAAACCAGTGTGCGGGAATTATACGCGTGTCTGGAATAGATGTAATTGATGACGCCATTCCAACAACTATATAAACCTCATTATCCAGCCATTTTTTATATCGGTTTGGGATTTCGCATGCATATTTTTCAATTGTATAGCATTTACTGGGAATGAGGACAGATTGGAGATATCCTTGATCTTTTCGCTGGCCTAAAATTTGGATGGCATCACCCTTATACATAATTGAAAAAATTAGTAAATCAATATGCAGTTGTGAAAGAAGAATGAAGTATAAAGTAATGTCATAACTTACATTTCTATCAACAGCCAAGAACCATGTTTCCTGACTTCTTACCTGTGGTGTCCACATTCGCAATATTCGAACCTAGAAACATGAAATAAATTGTTATTATGTACTCATATACAGAGTTGGTAAATGAGAATGTAGATATTATATAAAGTGAAATATAGTCATAAACTTGTATTGCTGTTCCCGGACATCCATAGTGTAAGTCTGAGATTGTTGTTACTGTTTGGGACATGGCTGAAGTTATAAAAAAAACAAAATTAACCTATAATCTTTTGTTGCATTTAAAAATATAATGTGTTATGAAGTAGTGAAATGAAATAGATAGGAAAAAAAATGTAACATGTTGTATATAAGTATAAAAGATGAATTTGTGTTTAACCTCTGAGGTATTTATTTTTTGTAGGAAGTCTTTGAAAACAACGTTTTTTGTCGTGTTATTTGTGGTTTTGTCATCAGAATGCATACGTATTTTAACTGAATCCGGAGATGTAGCACGTGACAATGCAACATAAAGCTGTATGTGCGTGAAAACTGGTTCTGGTAGATAAATTCCAATTTTTTTTAAAGATTGCCCTTGACTTTTGTTAATAGTCATAGCATAACAGACTTTAACTGGAAACTGTTTTCTAATGAATGTAAAAGGTATGTCAGGAGCTTTATGAATAAATCTAATACGAGGCAGAAAAACTTTTTTTCCAACACAGGTTCAGTGATGATCGACGCCTCAATCACGTTCGGCAGCAATTGTGAAACCATTAACCGTGTCCCATTGCACAAACCTTCTTTTTGATTCATATTACGAATCGGCATTATAGGTGTGTTAATTTTCAATAACAATGAGTGTGCAGGTATGCTAGTAAATGTAAGCCCATTCAGATATTCCAATGGATAGAATGTATTAAACTCTGCGCTTTGCTTCCCATTGAATTCAATGCTATCAGCACTTTCATAAATCTTTGAATGCCCAGGAATTTTACGCATAACAATGTCATTTATTTGTTGTATTGTTTCATTTTTGGGACAAACTATTGCCCTAGCAGATAAAATGGTGGGTGAAACTTTGCTTTGAAGGATATATCCATAAACAAAATTTATAAGGGCATCTAATCCCTTTTCTGATGGAGGTATAAGGAGTGACTTAGGAATTTCAATCCATTTAGCATTTATCTTATCGACTGTATCGATTTGACCAATTACTCCATCTCCAACTTGAAGTAACCATGATGCAAAATCTCTTGCATTTAAGTCTATTTCCAATGAGTTACATGAATCCTTAAGCCTCATATTAGCATTTAATTTATGTAATTTGAAATAGGGCCATAAGTATGAGTTAGGCAAGGTCAGAGAAACAATGTCAGAGGGTGTACTCTTTGGAGACACAGGCAATGTTTGTCGGAAGTCCCCTCCTAATAGTACGTACATGCCACCAATTTTCATTTCGCAGTCAAGAATATCTTTTAAAGAACGGTCCAGACATTTGAAACAGCGTCTGTCACTCATTGGTGCCTCGTCCCATATGCTGATAGAAGTTTGCTTTAGCAGCTCAGCAAGCATTGTGCGTTTTCTGATGTTACATGCACTTTTTTCTGAAAAGTCAATCGGAATATTAAATCTAGAATGAGCAGTCCTTCCTGATGGAAGAAGCAAAGAAGCTATTCCTGAGGCAGCAACATCAAGCGCTATTTTTCCTCTTGAACGGAAGTAAGCAAGCAATGTATTCCACAAGAAAGTTTTCCCGGTTCCTCCATGGCCATAAACAAATATAAGCACCTGTTGTTGTGTCTCTTCTGCAGACCGAACTTTATTGTACACTTGCAGTTGTGCATCATTCAGAAGTAAGAACATATGTTCGTGAGTGGAAGTAAGACTTGCCTTATCATAAGATGTTTCTTCTAGGAAGAGGCGATTTTTTAACAACCTGATGGTGTCCTCTGTTAGCTTTGGTAGATGAAAGTAAACAACGGATCGCGATGGAGTAGATGATTTGAGTATGTGATCTAGCTCAAATAAAACCAATTGTTGTATATGAGTATCATCTATATTTAATTCAATACTAGGATTGGATGTCTTCATATCATACACTAAATCATCACTCATTTTTTTCCATCCAATGTACCACAAACACATGGGATCATTAACATCACACAAAAGGAGAAGATAACAGAATAGAGAACGCAGTTGAGATGAAGTATCCCATTCAGAAGCCTGTACAAAAGCATCCATCCATTCTCTGTCATCTCCAATCAGTCCTAATGCATTACAAGCACTACGGAAATCATCATACACTATATTTGAAACAGTGCGCAACTCTTCATAAGACTTAGAACCTTTTTGATGAGAAAGTAACATCCTTAGGAAAAATAATTCTCCAGCAGTTGGGTGAACGAACATAAGTCTGCCAAGTGCATGGGAGTTTGAACGTTTTCTTCTTTTCCAACATTTTCCCCTATTAGCCCACCAATATTTCGTAGGGTAAGAGGCGTAGGTAAGATCATGATCGGTTGTATCCCACCTATTCTTTTCAAACCAACCTAACAGCAAACTACTACCAAAGTTGGGATTTTCAACAACTTCTTTGATGCGAGTATTTTCCTTAAAGAATATTGACTGCATATTCGGCAAATGGACAGGAAGAATCATAACAGGAGGATCACGCTCATGAATGGGATAATCAAGTATCCGCCATGCAGCCTCATGAGGACAGAGGAAACGCCCATCAATATAATTTTTTTATCTCATCAACAATCATACCTTCTACAGAGGTAGAACCTTCAGAACATTGAACATCTTTCTGAATTACAAATCTAACACGTTCCATTCCCTTTGATACATACTTGAATAGATACTTGATCATCATATTCCACCCGTAATATTCAACATTAATATGTGCATTGAAACGACTACACAATCTCTTGTTATATGGAACTATGTATATGTTATCTATTTGAATACCATTTTGTAACGTGTGAACTGCATTTGAATTCCTTTTATAATGAGCATAACCATCCTTATCAAAAACTGTAGCAGAAATAAATGACTTTGGATTTACCATCTTTCATACAAGGTGCCTTACAATTTAGCAAACCACATGGTCCATGTAGCAGACACCTTGTAACAATGTCATATAACACTGGTTCAGAAACAGGATTAGGCAGCTCAGCAGTAATGTAAGCATCAACTTTTGAAGGATCCTTTATCTTATGGGAATCTTCCACCCATACAAGTACATGACAATGAGGCAATCCCCTATTTTGGAATTCAATGGTATACAAATCTACAAAAAAAATTATTATTATAAAAAAATAAACAAATGTTAGCATTTATGGGTTAATTTTTTTTATAAAAAAAAAATAGTAAATATTTATATACAACTGAAAAAGAAACTTACATGCTGAAACAGGGCCAAAAGTCTTATCAGATTTCAGATATGCAATAAACGCATCAACTTTGATACGAAAAATTCGTGAAATTATGTCAGCTCTGCTACCAACATCACTCTGATGATGGGAATTCATGTAGCGTGTGATTTCTGGCCATCCAACATTACATGTAAAAGTTATAAAATACTGCGGATTCCCATACTCCCGACAAATAGAAAGAGCGTCCTGATAGTGACTATACATGTATCGTGGACCACCAACAAAAGATGGAGGCAGAAGAACACGGTTTCCAATAGAACGACTTTCAGTATCACCACGTGAAATTGCATCATAAATACCACTAACATATGCTGATATTAGTTGGCTTTGATTGTGTAAATAAAAGTCAAGACGCGACAACTCAATACACGCATATGCATCAACCAAATACTGCTGGAACAATCTACAAGAATTCAACAAAAGAGAGTATACACCATTCCTCGCGCGTATTTGATAACTATAATACATGTTGATAGTCAGATTCCTAACCTTGCTGCTCATTTCATTACGAAGTTTCAAACGTGGAGACCAACCTGTCTCACCATACGGAAAGAGGATAGGATACTGCAAAGGCATGTAGCTAGGATGAAGTTTACTAATCCTGCGTGGAACTCCAGTCCTGGAATGTATAACTATGTCGTACGTACTGCCAATTGCATCTTCACCAACAACAATACAACCCAAAGTACCAGGAGCCGGAGGACCGTACAAACGGTCAGGAACATCATTAAATAAACAGACTGCATAGTCAACCAAACTCCTCTCAAGAGCAACCTCCTTGGCAGTCTTAAAGGTCCTAACATACTCATTATGCACATTAAAAATACCCATAAGACTTTCAACAATTGTTGGATCCAAAGACAGACCGTCATTCTTTTGTAGTGCAGACAACCTGTTTTGCAATTCATGCTCCGTATCAACAATATACAACTGTAGGAACCTAGGTCCCTTTTCATCAACTATACCAAAAGCACCTATCCAATGACAAACCTGACCAGAGACCTTGAACACATAAGGACCAGCCGCCCTATTAATATCCTCATCGACCTTACCTCCGAAAGATGTCATACTGAACATGTTATTATAACCCCTTATATTTTTTATAAAAGGGGGGAAATCATACAAAGCCAATAACAATTGAGGAGGTACAGGCGGATACGACAGGACAACAGACCCAGACCTACAACAACGAGTATAAGCAGGAGAATTTGGACGTGATAAATACTGAACCCTTTCATCAAACCAGAAAAGAGCCGAACACGACTTACAAATAAAAATACAATCACCAACATCATCATAAGCAGACAAAAGTAAACAGTTATTAGAAACAGGCGAACATGGTATCTGAGGAGGAATTATCGCAGCTAAACGCCTAAAGAAGGAACGCTTGCAAGACAAAATTCCAGACATCAAATAACCGTATAAGAGGAATCATACATACATAAAGAAGAAAAAACAGAGGCGTGAGAACAGAGGAACAGATAATCGCGAGAAAGGGATCAACAGATATAGAGAACGACAACACTGAAGGCGGCAATCGCAAATGCAAAATAGAAGACAACGCTCACAAAATTTTTAAGGCGGTCTAGAAGATAACGATCACAAAAATTTTAAGGCGGTTTGTAAAAAAAACCTTTTAAAATAAAAGTGACGGCGAAGTAAAAAGAAGCAAAGAGTATAGCAATCGGTATGGCAAAAGTAGTAAATGAAGGAAAAAATGTGGCAGAAATGAGAATTGACAAAGGTTCCTGTTCACCAAGTTTTTAACAATTAATAGTATATATAATATTGAAAATAAAAAATTAATTAAATT